CATCTATCTATCTATCATCTATTCTATCTATCTATCTATCTATCTATCTTCTATCTATCATCTATCGTATATCTCTCTCTCTCTTCTATCTATCTATCTATCTATCTAATTTAATTTCATATACATGAAAATTAACATATACCATCTGTTTATATAAATGTTATACACACATAAACACACACACACGCACACACTCCTTGCTTTATGGCCACAATTGAGCCCAAAACCTATGTTGCTGAGTGAAACATTTGTTGAGTGTCCAATTTTAAAACTTTTCATGTCACTGCAAATCTTTGAAATTGTTAAGTTAGTAACACGATTGTTAAGTGAATCTGGCTTTCCATTGATTTTGCTTGTCAGAAGGTCGCAAAAGCTGATCACATGACTCCAGGACACTGCAACCATCATAAATATGATCCAGCTGCTAAGCATGTGAATTTTGATTGTGGGACAATAGGGATCCTGCAATGGTCATGAACGTGAAAAATGGTCATAAGTCACTTTTTCACCATGTAACTTTCAATGGTCGCTAAACGAACTGTTGTAAGTTGAGAAATATATAATATGTATATACACACACATATATACAAGTATAAGTATAATCTTTATTGTCATTGTACTTAAATATATATGTGTGTGTATGTGTGTGTGTTAATCCTCTTGATATCAAAGCTTATTCTACTCTTGACATAATAGTAGATTCTCAAGAGATAAGTGGCCATTCTAAAATGATTGTTTTCTGTTTTAAAACCTGCTGTTGAAAAGCCATATATTTTTAAACTATTCTTTTAAACAAAGGCATTCCAGGCCAGTGCTTGGTATACACCTAAATTAACACAAAACCACACTCTGAACTTTTCTTTAAATAGCTTTGTTCTATTTTAAAGGTGCTTGAAATAGAATCCCAATGACTGAAAGTGGCAAAGGAGAACATCTCCAACTCTACTGAATTAAATTCAGTTAAATTAAACATAAAATGCATAGTATTTCTTTAGAATGAGATGTTTTTGATCACAACCTTAAAATCCTTATATATTTATGGACCATGATCGATGATCTTGTAATATCCATTGATTTCTTATGCAACATGGTTTGATTCATACGCAGTGTAAGAAACTCAAGCTTCGTATATGTAGAACAGTTGCCCCAGATCTCAACTGCAAACTCCATAAGATGACACCAAAGAGATACAGAAATCTCTAACTATAGCAATAGCAATAGCAGTTAGACTTATATACCGCTTCATAGGGCTTTCAGCCCTCTCTAAGCGGTTTTACAGAGT